AACACACACAAACACACACACACACACACACACACACATACATACACACAAATATACACACATGCACACACATGCCTACCTTCATATGCGTACATATAAATGATAATATATGAGAAGATCAAGTATAGCCAAATAGATTTTGTGCTCGTCTGCGTGAGACAGATAAAGGAAACCACATTAAAAGCATAATATTATGCACTGCAGAAGCGCAAGGTCCAACTTATTGTAGCTGTATAATGGATATATACATTATCCCTTTAGCCTCGTTTAGTCATATTTTTATTTAAAGGAATACCGTTCCACTCATTAAACGAATCCGGTTTGTTAGGACAGACAAACTATTATAATAAACATGATGCCATTTCCGAAGTAACATGATCTATCCACCACACTTCGTTCACTAGCCACTTTGAAAATAGCTATTTTTCTTCGATTTGAATTATTTATTGTTACATTTTATTTGGATTCTTTCTTTGGAGAGGAATTTTCCTTTTGGAAATTGAGACGTCACCATTAGCCTACTTGTCAGAGAGTTAAATCAACCAAATTTGTTAAACAAAACAAAAAAATCCTTTTTAATAGATATGCCGTTTGAAGATGGTTATTTCCGTAACATCGGCTCAACAAAAGAGCCCAGAATTTTCTTTCAGTTCTCTGCGCTGATAAATCCAAACAATTGTTTCAACAGTCATTGCATCTCTCCCGCCTTCACTAAATTTACCAGGTCGACAGGAAACGTTAAGATAATAATATCATGACAGCACTTAGCTTTTGGACAGGAGACGGATACAGCTATTTATTTGTCTTTGGCTTCAGCAATAAAAATGTGTGGTCTTTGTGATGAAATGAGGCTCTCGTCAATATAATGAAATCGAACAGATAGTTTTCTGTCCGTTGGGCAATTGTTATAAATTATTCTTTTTTTCTTGTTTGTTTCTTTTCCTTTGTTTCCTGTTTATCTTTTTCTTTTTTTTTCTTTTTTTTTTGGGGGGGGGAGCGGGGGTGGCTTAGCCTGTTTTATGCCAATTGAAAACCACATTCCTGTGAGGATATAACTGAGAAAAATGTTGATCAAATGCACATTGGGTAGGAATTTGTTGTTTCCAGTGACACTTCAGCTCTGGTAGTCACCAAACTTTGGCGGCTATCTCTTAGCTCATTAAGAATTTTGCCTTAGACACTTGGCGACCTCCACCTCCTCCAAAGGAAAATCTTTCGTCTTTTATTCAAGATAGCCTCGACAAGTGCCGGGTATGTACCATCAAAAATTAGACAAACAAATAGGCTTTAAGAC